GGCATTTGATGTCTTTCATGCAAGCTTAAATGACATAGTGAATTCCTCCTTCAACTTAGGTGAGAAAATTTCTAAGCTCAAGATAGTTAGAAAAATCCTTAGATCCTTTCCCGAGCGTTTCAGGCCGAAAGTCACAGCTATTGAGGAAAGTAAGGACATAGACACTATCAATGTAGAGGAGTCAGTCAGGTCGTCCAGATCTATGAGTTGACATTAGACAATCCTATTAAGGAAAAATTCATAGCCTTGAAATCCATTAGGAATAACGAGATGGAATCTTCTGATTCAGATTTACCCAATGATGAGGAGATGGCCCACCTAGCTAAGAAATTTCGAAAAATATTTAGGAATAAGAAGAAGTCTCAAGAGAGACAAAAAGGTGGCCCAAGTGAATCTAGGAGAAAATCTAAATTCGTGAGATGTCATAACTGTTGTGGTTTCAGTCACGTGAGGAGTGGATGCCCGAGTGCTAGGAGAGTTGAAGAGAAGACAATGAATACTACTCTCACTGATAACTCGGACAATCAGAGTGAGAAATCCACACGTAAGGAGAGTGAAAAATATGTGGCCTTTGTTGCTAAAGTTAAAAGTGGATCCGAATAGGGAAGTGAAAGGAATGATGACCTAGATAGTAGTGAAGAATTTGGTGATGAGGGTAGAAGTGAAGAAGATCTAGAAGAAGCTTATGAAAAGATGTATGAAGAAAACCTCAAGATCATAGCTACTAACCAGGTGTTGAGCAAGAAAGTGAAGGAACATAGGTTAGAGAAAGAACAGTTAGAGGCCCAGGTTAGTGATCTCACCAGTGAAAATGAGATGTCCTCGAGGAGAGTAAGTGAACTGACCGTTGAGAATGAGACCTTAGCTATTCAGGTTAAGCACCTTGAGAGTGAGCTAGAGTTGTCTAGGTCTCAGATACTTGCATTTTCTAATAGTTCTGAAAAGCTAGAAAATATTCTAGGAATAGGCAAGTCGGCTGGTGAGAACATAGGTCTAGGTTTTGATAGTAAAGCTGCTAGTACTTCATAGACCACTTTTGTTTGTGCTACTGACCAGCCTAATATTGTGACTAATCCCATATCTAATGTTGTGGGATCTTCTGGACGTAGGTCTACATTGTGGGACCCGTCGACCTAGGAATAGAAATCAGTGTCCACATAACATGGGTCCTAGGTTTATCTCAACATGCTTTCAGTGTGGAGAGTTAGGTCACATCCGCCCTGGCTATCATCACTACCTGAACAATAGGAAAGTGTTGAACTTGAAAACTGACAAAAATCAAGTGTATGTTGGTCAAATTGGATTCCTTGCCGATCAAGTAAACGTTTGACCCAATTGGTGACACAGCTACCTGGAAACAATCCTCGTTCTAGACAGGTTTGGGTGAAGAAGAGCAATCTCCCAAATTTGGTAGTAGATCGCGGGGCTTTTAAAGGAAAGAGCACTTGTACACCTACTTGATTATGTATTTTTTATGCATGCCTGCTCTTAATTGTCGTATGCTGTTGCGTGCATCACATGTATTTTGGTTATTTTATTTTTATTTTATTTATTTATTATTATTTTTTTACATGTGCATTTTCATTTATTTACTTTGGTGCATGCATATTTAATTTTATCTTTGTGTGTTTGATTTTATTTTCTTTTGTGTGTGGAGCATTCATTTTAGTAAAAATGGAAAACAAAAAAAAATTGAAAATTTGAAAAAGACAAAAATAATTGGTTATGGAAATTGATACAGTATGACATATATTTCTTGAACTTGTTGGTTGTGATCATGTATGAGTTAAAATTGATAAGCTGTAGAATAATTTTCATTATTTGTTTAGGTCTTTTTGGATTACTTAGTATAGGTGTCATCATGTACTATCTGCACTGCACACACTTTGAATTTGTTAGTGCGACACTACGCGTGTGTGAGATTTGGGATAACTATCACATGTTAATAGTGTAACTTTGAATATGAATTGATCAATATTTAGTAGACCTAAACCCAAAAATTATCCCTCATATTAAAGCTCAATATCTTAATGTTCTTTTTCGGGACATATTTGACTCGAGCAATTAAGCATGTGGGGTCCCTTAAAACCTAGCGCCCATGATCAACTGACTTGGGTTAACTGGCCTAAAACTCGTTACAGGGGTCATCTTAGTGGCCTAATGGAGAAGAACCAACACTTAAGATGAAAAAAAATTAATGAGCTAGAAAAATGTGAAAAATATGAAGAGCTAAAATAATATGAAAATCTGAAAAATATAAAAGTTTATTGTAAGGCGGAGATGAGTAAAAATAATAAGCATATGTCCTACTGCACATTAAATGGTTTGACTTTCATTAGTAGGAAAATATACTTACTGGTAGGATTGGCATATCCCTTCACAAATGTAAAGTTTGAAGTCCTACTTGCATTGGAATAGTGACACTTTACACACATGGGTCACTTGTACTTTTTACTCCATTTTGGTCTAAACTAAGTATGTGGGGAGGTCTGCTACTTATTAATTTTAATTTTGCTTGCTATCAACTGCATTTTTGAGTTATTATGTGTCATTTGCTCAGCTTGTTCTTCATATGATTCCCTTCAGCATTTGTGACAAAAAGGGAGAGAGAAAAGTGTAACTGAGGGGGAGAAAAATATGTAACAGAGCATACGAATAGAGGTCGTTGGGGAGAGACATAGATGCATTGTATTTACTAAATAACATTTACGAGATTTTATAGTAAGGAGAAGCGTTACATTGCATTGCATTCCATATTATATACATTGCTGTTTGAATTTTGATGTTTAGTGGTGTTGGTGTTTTGATTGACATCAATAACACGTCTCAAACTAACATGTTGATGTGTTTGTGATTAAGTGCTTTAATGTTTATATTTCCTGTGTCACGTACTTTTACACTTGGTATATGAGTTTGTGGATTTCAGAAAACAGGTACAAGGAATGCAAAACTCAATGATTGGGTTTACTGGCTAGAATAGATTATGTCTAGAGTCCTGACTTATTGTGTATGATTTTGTCACAGAATGTCAAAGGGAGAGTTTGTTAGGTCTGAAAGTGTGATTGGCAGTTCTGTAGACAAAGTGGACGTGATTGTATGATTGTAAAAGTCAAGGACTTAATTAAACATTCCTGAAAAAGTCAAGGGCTTAGGGTGCAATTTTGTATAGATGAGGTAAATTAGTGTTCGATTCATTGAAAGAGTCCAAGATGCCCAAGAAGATCACATAAGATCATTGGAGTACAATTGGAATTTTAAAGGATATCAAAGAGCCGCAAAAATTATGTTTCGAATTTTAAGTTGTAAATTTCAATGCATTTTTCTCATAGAAAACGTTAGAATTTTGATAAGGCTATTTCTAAATGAATTTTATCCCCTTGAGTTAGCTTTCCTATGCAAGTTGAATCACCTCAATCGGATATCAAAAGAAAAAGTTATGATAAAAATACTGACAACTGCTTATTGTCACTCGATTCTCGCTGGCATTTCGCTCGAGCGAAAAAAACAGAGTACCACTCGCTGGCATCTCGCTCGAGCGACATTCCTATGCAGGAAAACCCCTAGTTTTCATTTTTGAAGTGTTTACTCAGCCCATACCACCTAAACACCTTCAAATATAAATACTCAAACCCTAGCACGAATTTTTAGAGTTTGCTACATTATTCTTTCATTACAAAAGATATTCACAGCATCTTTGAAGATATTCAAGGTGCTACTGACCACATGAGGTTAAAGTATAATTGTATTCGAAGGAGCTAAACATTAAGTTTTGTATATATTATCGTCAAGTGATAAAATGAAAAGTTAAGAATATCACTTATTCATTACTAGGATGGTATTCAAGGTATCGGTTCAACGAGTATTCCATATGTTCGAGACTTAGTAAATAGATATCAGATTTAACTTATGCTATAAGATCACCAGTGGAGTTGATTGAAAATCTTACATATGAATAAAAATCAATTCGAATCTTGGATGGAAAATGAATAGATTTTGTGCAGTAAGTCTATTTCACTGGTTAAAGTTTGTTGGATAAATCATTTAAAAAAAAAAAAAAAAAAATAAAATTATTTTATGAAGAAGATATGATTGAAAATGAATCTCGAAAAATAATTTTTAATAAATGGTAATGCTAGTGTAGTCACCATTCGGTTCAGCTAGATTTTAATATAAATCAAAGTCAAAAATTAATTTTAATCCAGTGTCATAGGATTCACAACCTTTCAACCATATATTTCATCAATTTTTATTAAAATTTATTAAAAATCTGATTTTAATCCTTATCAAACAAGGACATACATTATGTCTCAGCTAATGTTTTAAAGTCCGGCCCAAACATAGACCCCAAAAAGAGAAAGGGTCAAAAGATTCAATCAGGATCGAATCAAGGTCAAATCGAAGGTAATAAATAAATATTTATAAACATTTTGTTTTGGAACAATAATCCACGTTTTTATTATATAATAATTTTTTTAAAAAATAAGTTTTAGATCGACAATAGGTATCAAAATTAAATAAATAAATACACCCACAACTATAAAGTATTTTAGCAATAATAGATTTATTTTACTAATTCAAATTAAATATAATCTATGTTAGTTAATTAGATGCATTACAATATATTTTATTTTAGAACATAAAAAATTGAAATAATTTGTTTATGTTGAAAAATTGAAATTTGCCTGTATATAATTTGCTGGCACCATTTAGTATTTTTCAAATAAATTCATTTGTTTGTTTGGCAATTGGTAATCTTTTTCCCACGTCAGAACTTGATTGTGAATGTGGAGAGATGAATGTCTTTAAAATGAAGTACTTGACAGTTGAAAAGAATTAACCATAAGGCAGCTCATTGGTCAAGTATTAAATTTGTTCATTAATAGTCTCCAATTCGAATCCCTTCAGAGTTACTAAGGTTAGTGTCCGATTTTAAACTTCAGGGTCCGATGAAAAATCGAGGTGCACGTAAGTTGGTCCAAACACCTATAGTCATTGAAAAAAAAAAAAAAAAAAATGAGAGAGAGAAGAAGAAGAAGAGGTGGGTCTTCAAGTTTGGATTCTTCATTTCTCCATTGATTTAGAGAGGTGGGTGTAAGTAGGATGAATTATCTTTTTGAGTTTATGGAAATTTTCTCAAATTTAAGGTTTAGCAAAATTAATGATTGTTGATATATGTTTGAGGCATTAAAAACAACAGTAATATTAGTGTTGAAAGGAAGGAAATGTGAAATGGGTTTGTAAATTAGAGTTCCAATCTTTGAATTATTGTGTTTATATGATATAAAACACTTGAGCTATGATGAATTAGAGTGGTAAAAGAATTTTAGGTTAGATTTTGGTATTTATAATAAACTTTTGAGCAAAATTCATTTGCAGGTGCTATTCTTGAAATTCTGCCTAGAAAAGTGCCATTTCTGTCAATGGTTTTGATGCCAGATTTTAATGTGCAGAAATTGGTGCCAGATTTCAATATTATGGGATTTTAGTGTTGTTTTTTATCAAAACTCTTATTTTCAGATTTTTTTAAAGGCTTGAATGAAGTTATATGACAAGTGTTGAAGTTTATGTATTGGAATAAATTATGTATAGGACTTGTATATGTATCAGTTATTGATTTTAAGGAAGTGAGTAATTTAATAGATTTGATAATGCATGGTGTTTAGATGATGAATTAATGAAGCAAATAAAAGTTGGGGATTGGAGATGTAAGAGTAAATATAGAAGTTGAGGAGTTAAGTGATGGAATTATATTAATTTAATTGTCAAGTTTCTAAGTAATTATACCGTTATTTCAGGTAGTGACATAAAAATTTGGAAAGACTCGTCAATTTAGCCAGATTTCTATCCATAAATCTGTGAGTGGAAAAATATAAATATTTTTAAAGTATTTATAAATTAAATATATTATCAAAGTATGTGCAATTATGTGTTCGATTATATTATTGTTATGGAACTCTCTTTTATTATGATACATGTAGAATCTCAAAGATTATTTATGGCACATTTGTGACTTGTTATGTAGGACATGTGATATTGAGATTTGTTTGATATGTGCTACATGTGATATTGAGATCGGCCAGAAAAGTACCCATGATTATATACTTCTTTTAGTTTATAGAGGAGCATTGTCCATGTTCTATTCTACACGGAGGGGTCTTGACCTGACATTGGTCTTGATCGTGTACATATAATTCACAGAGGGGCTTTGGCCGTGTTCTAGAATTGATTACCATAAGTCTTTGAAATCGACTTTCATTCACAGGGAGGGCGAAAGACCCATGAAGAAAGTTTTTAGCTCAAAGGGTGGGTTACAAATTTTAGTCAGAGGATACTTTTTTGTGAATTTTTCAGCATATTTAATATGATGAGATTATAGCATGATTACAAGCTTATATTTATATCATGACTTGAGATGATATTTTACCACATTATGTAAATGTCTTACATTTTAGCTATAATTATGTGATGTTATCTTGTGAACTATTCAATGATATGAACTCGATTTTCAATAAAAATGTAAAATGGAAAAAGTATACTTATTTTCGAAATTCTCCACTTACTGAGCTATCAACTCATATATTTTCTCGTAATTTTCCTACATGTAGCAATTGATTCTTTTTAGTTGGAGAGCCTAATAATTTCGAAATGAGAGTCACACGATATGTTGAGTGTTATAACTCATATTGATGAGGCATAAAGTAAAAAATTTGGACCCATCTCATTTTATTTTACATAGCATTTGATTTTGGCGCATTTTTTGAAATAACTCATAGTTGGCCTTAGTGATAGATTTGACATCTATCAGCATCTATCATCGGTGCACATCACATTTCAGGTCCACTAGGGTGATTCGGGACGGGTCGTGTCACAATTAATTGAGAATTTCATCTACATCAATCTTGTGAACCGACAACCATTGTTTTAGGGAAAAACATCGAATCTATATAATCCAAATCACCTTGCTTCTTTAATCTATTGAGGAAGGACTCTCTCATTGGAGGATTGAGAGAGGTTGATTGAGCCATAGTTACAAGCACAAGAACAGGCGGTTCTTGGTGTTCCACTTGGTGATACAATTAGCTAAGGACCAAAAGATTGCAGTTGACAGCTGCATGAGGTAGATCGGGAAGTCTAATAGGAGGCTAGAAGTATCTACAACAATAGATTGTGAGACTGGAACAACTGGTCTAATAAGGTACGGAGTTTGGTATAACTTGTACTTACTGAATTGGTATAATGTAGGTAACTGACTTGGTCCCGAAACTTTACCCAAGTTGGGGTTTCTCCGTCATCATATTATTTGTTATTTAGTGCTTTCCATAATATATAAACTACGGCATTCCAACATAGGTTGATTGATTTGTATGATTAATTACCTAGACAACTAATTAAAGTGACTTGTTGCTTTAGTTAGATTAATTCCGCATGTAATATCAAATTGGTTAAAGTGAAATCTAGAATGTAAATTTGGTAACGCATAAAATTTGAGACTTGAACTTGACATTGTATCGCGTTAGCCAAACCTTCTAACATATCTAAGCATTCAAGATGACTTTTCAAGGTGGAAGGAAGAACTTGCTAGGTGATCCATAATGTGATATAAACAGAAGAAAATATGAAAGTGAAAAATAAGTATTATATCAAGATTGAACAATATGGGGTTAAAATTTAAATCAAAATAAATTTTAATTAGTGGAAATTTGAAAGGTGATCGGTTTTAGGTTCAAAAATATGCTTTTTACAAGGTTCGTTCAGGCCACCTAGCATGTGAGATAGCCATAGGCTTCTATAATTGGGCCAACACGATTCAACAATCGGAGAAATCTGATCTATGGTGCGATCATGTCGAACGATTTGAAATTGGACAACAAGATACATTATTAAACATCTAAACTCGACCCACTTTGCGACTTGGTGGATCACACAGAGATATTTGCAAACCAATAATTGAATGATGATCATGGTGGTTTGAAGTTGAGATAAAAGGTACCACATGTCATAGCCGAAATCCGAATAAGGGTAAAATAACATCATATCACATAAACATAAAGAAAGTGACATGAGCAAAATATGTAATTCTAAAAACAAAACATTTCCAGCTATCAGCATTTCATTCCTAAGATCAAGAAATTTCTTGGGCCCACAAATATAGGTACCTAAACCTATATATCTAATCAATCACAAAGAGAACGAATTTCAAATGGAAGCCACTCATAAAAGACCATTTATTGCAAAACAGTGACTAGGGATTATAGCACAGTACCTCGTTCAAATTTCGTTGAACCACTTGATCTTTAAATTTTGTTTATATTATGTCTTCAACATGTTCGTTACGCGGAAGTCAATTTTGTTGTTTTCGTTAAACTTGGACTAATAATGTATTGTATTATTTGTGTTTAGCATCCATCTAGATAGTAGTGATACCTCAATGCTATCAAGGACCTCTTTCAGAACGTCCACATGCTCTTCAGTTACATCACCTAAAAAGATTATTCCAAAACGAATGGGCTTCTGCCCTTTCCTTTCGATGGTGGATCTCTATCTTCCATTTGAATTTTCTTCGATGTCGATCTTACGTTGTCTCATTATCTAATAATGAATCAATATGTATCACAATTTATTTCGACAATGTGGTAGTGATAATAGATTGGCGTTAAGCACTAGTAATATCATCTAAATTTAATATGTGCACAATTTTTATTAAAAGGATGACGAATAGACTTGAGATCAAAGTTGTCAACTAATTAAACGGGTCAAGGAATTCAATTATTTAAAAGAGGAAAAGAAACAAAAAAGAGCTCAAGAGAAAGGATAAGGATAGGATACAATGTTGAATAAATTCAGTTGCATCCTAGAATGAACCACTGGGCCCTCTGCCATTTGTTGATTATTCCCCAATTTGAATTCTTTATATTTTAATTCCCTATGAAGGGCACCCAAGATTTTGTCATTGGATGACTAAACTAAAATATCTGCAAGTATAAAAAATTTGACTAAAAAACACATCATCTCTTATCTGAGATTCTGTTCTTGTGGTGGAGTTTGATGGGGGAACTAAAAAGTTCATTTAAAGCTGTTTTCTTTCATTTGTTTCGGGCATATTTGCAGAAACATGTATCATACCTGTTAATTTTTTTTTTTTCGATATTGTACAGTATTGGATAGTATTATAACCTTAGAGCATAGTGCACCAATCATGTTCGGATTAATTTTCAAAAATCAACAGAGAATTTTTCTTGGGAAAGGAATCGAAGAAACATTGTAAAACAGTACAATTTTTGAAGAATTTTTCTGGGCTAAGCTGAAAAATGAACAAAGAGAGTTTGCACCAGAAGTAAAAGAAAAGATTAATCCATTAGAAAGAGACTTATCAAGAAAACTAGTAGTAAAGATCCACATCAGAGATCTAGCCTTTTGGCAAACTGCAAAAAGTTAAAAACCCACACATGAACAATTTTCTTGAGAATCAACATACCTGAGAAAAATAAACTCTTTTTTTGTCAATAAAAAAATAATAATTCAAACATCATACTAAGCCTATCTCTTCGGGTTTGATTATTAGTAACTTTTTAGAAGAAATAACTGTGGGAATGACAAAGTATGAAAATAATTATGAGTGATACAGTCGAATGTATGATTGAAATTAAAATTTGACTTTGACTGAGAAGTAGAAATAATTTTTAAGTTACGAATAATGCTTCCCAATTAAAGAGTAAATCATCTAAAACACAAACGAAGCAAGAAATTTCAACAAACAAAACATGCTCGAGTTACATAGTTTGAGCTAATATTAAGTTTTAACAAGCAATTTCAAGAAAATAATTAGACAATGGGTAAAATAATTAAGATCAGACAAATGGACTGATTTTTCTGGACTTCTTGTTATGAATCTAACCAGGCCTGGCCCTTTTATGACCGTTTGAATCTCCCTCGGATGAAGCATCCACAGATTTTGTGAAAGAAGTTGAGAGATGAGCATATAAACCAACCACTCTTCTAATATTGTTGTTGAGTTCTCTAATCAATCCCACATTTCTACTTAACTTCTCAGGAATCTTGGACTCATGATTCTGATTAATCTCATTGATTAGCAGCCTATTTTGTTCCAGTATATCTTGAACTTGTACAAGACTATTCTGAAATGTCTGCACTACTTTGTCATCCAACTGTGTGTCGTCCTGCATTTTATCCAATCGAATCGAAACGGGGCTGCAAATCAAGCCCAAAGATTCAACGTGATTCACCCTTCAAACAAGAGTTATGTCCACTTTCATGAGGAAAATAAAAAGAATTTTGTTATCTGTACAGGGAATTTATACATATTATGCCCTCGTTTGTTTCTCATTTTTGGAAGAATAAGAATGAAAAATATAGTCGTTACGGACCCCACACAAGAGGTAGAATTTCAAATTTGATGGCTTGATATGAAGTACGGTCATATTTTTCATTTTAATAAGAAAAGAATGAGCGTGTGTCGGTGGATTTGAAAATTTGTTTTGAAATCAGCGTGTGTCGGTGGATTTGAAAAATTGTTTTCAAATCCATCAACGGACGAGTGCATTTGTCATGCTACCTGTACAGATGCCCAGGTAGCATTTCTCAAATAAAACACCCAACAACCTGAACAAATAAAATACATAAAAGAACGAGGTGATGATTGTGAGACAAAGGAGCACAGCAAGAAGAGACAATCTTAGGTATGGGATTTGAATATTGGCTTTAAGGAATGACCGTAATCATATCTTCCCCTTTGTACTTTCTAATTTATTAACAGAAGCCCAGACAAAACATGATAAGGTTTTTGAATTGTTTAAAGACAAATTGTGCATAAGAGACAAGTTCTGAACTTGATATTATGACTCTTCTCACTATGGGTACTTTTTACACAAGGGATCAAGTAAAAAAACTTGTACTACAGTATTACTTTCCATTTAAAAATTTGATTACATTATTATTATAGTCTCAATTATTATGGGGTATTGATGAAATGTAAGAAAGCAGATCCAATTTCCATAAAAAGGTGCCTTTTTACAATATACTCAAGAAAAAACCAGAATTTCGATAGAAGAATCTCAATATCTGAAATCAAAAACCAGTAAATGATGCAGTGCAGACATCACCATAAATCTTATGAGGGTATTAATAAGTCAAAAGGGAAAATATATTCTCAAAATAATTAAGTAAATAAGCAAAAGTTTCAAATGGAAATATCGGAACAATTTACTCAGCATTCAGGAAGTTGTTTTAACCATTTGTGGCAACACATGGGTTTCTGTATCAAATGCTGAAATAGCGGAAAAATGAACTTCTAGGAATTCAGAGTTGGGACCGTACTCAAAAGATTGCAGCTGCAGTTATGCTTAGAAGAGAATTCCCAAAATAGAAATTTGAAAAAATGGAACAGAAATTAACCATATATCAGAGATCTCAAATTTGCAAAAAGAAAAATCTACTGTCATTCCAAACAGAATTCTGTATCTTTTTACACACACACAGACACACTGAAAATGAGTAAAAGTGAATGTGAAGTTGAAGAATCAAGACTGGAGTAGATGAAAGATTCAAGAAAACTAAAAACTAAAAACTTGGGAGCCCATAATAATATTTTACAAGAAAAAACAAGAATATCTATATTCCTTCATGTATGTATATGTATGTATATTCTATACAGACAGTATATTTTGTTTGACGTACCTTAAGAATCTGGGAACATTATGGTGTGTGTTTGAGAGAGGACAGAGATTAGGGTAAAAGAACGGCGACTGAATCGAATCTTGTAAGGAGAGAGAATGAGAGATGATAGTCACGCTTCGACCCACCTTTCAACCTGTATAAATATTTTCTTTACTTTCTCCTGTTCACTCTTGTTTTTCTCCTTAGTATTTTGAGCCAGAAATACTTCAAAGTCAAGGTTTTTCAACGAGATTGGGTCTCAATTTTGTGTGGAGCAAAATTCACGTGTATTGGAGTTTATAATAAGTTATATATTATCTATTTTGATTAAGATGCGAGAGCGACATAATACAATCTACCTAGTATTACATTATTATAATTCTATAATAAATTCCTTATTCAAATTCTGATTGACAATCATTTTATATATATAATCAACAATTCGCTTTATTTTCAATTAGGCCTTGTTGTATCTTCTTTAGGGGTTATTACTTCCTTAGTAGCTCAACACATATACTCTTTATCTGCTTATGCATTCATAGCACAAGACTTTACTACTCGAGCTACATTATATACTCAATTGTGATTTTTATAAGAATGTATGAAAGAAAAAATTTTGATATACGTGTAAAATATTTTATTGTATAAATATGTAATTGAAAATGATCGTATAGTAAACCATAAAATATATTATTTGTGGTCAAATAGACACTCAGTCTAGCTAATCTAGTAAATCAAACACATTGAAGAGTCTTCGTCATACTGAATTAGATTGTCAGAGAAAATTAGGAATGAGCAAAAGACGAGTTTATGTGCTATAACATAAATTTGTATATTGTTAGTTTTGAAACAATGATCATAGTAACAGTAATCAATAATATTAATATTCTGTCTAGCAATATTCACTATCATTTTATGTTTAATTCTTAGCATGGTGTAATCAAGTGTATTAAACAATCAAAATAATTATGCCTTTTATGCTATATTGTTTCCAATGGACTTATCGATGAATGTTGTGGTTGAATTTTGGAGCTGCTAAACATTTAAACACTTTGTTTGAGGATGAAAAATAGCAACATTTTAAAATGGAACTAAGGTGCTCGTAGAGATAATGTTTGGGGATCCTAACGAGAGAAATAGTTTAATCTTTTCTAAGTTTCTTGAAAATCTAATTAATCATCAAATACAAAATTTAAGTATGGTTTATTATTTTAGTACTTCATAAATACATATAATTCAAACTACCATCTAATTCATACAACAAATTCAAATCCACAACTCAAATTCATAATCATCTCCAAAGATTTTCAAAACAAGAAATTACATTCATTCCTAAACGGAAAATTCGACATCCCATAATGAAATAGACAAATTTATAATATGGATGCTCATAAGTTAATGGTAACTAATGGTAGAAAACAAAATCACTAAAGAATATATTTGAAGTCGTGCAAATGAATTAAAAGATCAAATAGATAAAAAGGCAATGCCAAACATATAGATCACACCGAAAGATGATTATTACGAATTAATCTTTAAATAAATGAATACATGAAAACGGTAACTTTCAATTGAGGGGAACAAAAGGAAGTTTATTGAGAGGAGATTTTTGCTTTTGATAGAAATGCAAAGAATCGATATTGAAAGAGTAATGTTATTCATAGTAAAAACTATCGATAATTACTTTTCGTGATACACAAATGACAGTTTGTTATTTGATACACTTCTAAAATTTAAGAAGGGTTTATTATTTTAATACTTCCTAAAAGCCTTATATTCCAAAATACCATCTAAACTCATACAACAAATTCAATTCGACAACTCAAATTCATAATCACCTCCAAATAATTTCAAACAAGCAATCAATTTCATGCCTATGTAAAAAAATCAATGGTCCACAAATTCTCTGAGTTCTTCCATCCGATTCTAAATGAAATAGAATTATGCAATCAATTCTAAGATTTGAAAATCCTATTAATCAACAATTACCAAACTTAAGAAGTGTTTATTATTTCATTAGTGCTTCCTAAAATAAACATAAGTCAAACTACCACTAAAGTCATAAAACAAATTCAATTCGACAACTCAAATTTATAATCATCTCTAAATAATTTTAAAACAAACATTCAAATTCATTCCTACGTATAAAATTCGACATCACAAAATGAAATATAGAAATTTAAATAAATAAAACTAATGGTAGAAAACAAAATCATCAAGGAATATATTTCAATTCATGCAAATGAATCAAAAGCAAATTAAGAGATCAAATAAAAAAAATATTTGGAATGCCATACATATAATTTACATCAAAAGATGATTATTACAAGTAAATTAATAAAAAAGAGTGAAAAAAAGGGGGAAATTTACAATTGAGGGAACAAAAAAAAGTTTACTGAGAGAAGATATTATTGCTTTTAATGAAAACATCATAAATTCATATTGAAAATGGTTTTAATGAAATGTCTTTTTATAAATACCGAGATCTAGAAGTTCGGATTTACTTTTCCGAATTCTTTCGTGAGATAATAAATGTGATAGTTTACATGTTATAAAAGACATTTGTAAATGACTAAGAGTTAGAGAAAAAGACGAGGCAACAATCATTAAAAGGGTTTTGAGATGTACCTTGATGGAAAAAAAATTTGAAAATAAAAATAAAAATAAATAAAATTTGGTAGTCTTTTGCATCCCAATTTAGAAAAAATCAAGAGCTTCATATTTTGTATTATAAGTTCAAATATTTTGTGCATGCAAATTTATTGGGTTATCATAGTTTAGTGCATATTTTGTGCATGCCAGTTTATTGGATGGCCCTCAATCTTTGTTCAAATATTAGACAAAAACAAGAGCTGCACGTACAGTTTGTATTATTTGTTCAAATTTTTTGCATTTCAATTTGTTGGATGACCATAGTTTTCATGTGTTTATATATATATATGGTGATGGAATCTTGTTCTTTAAAGATCTATCTTTTTTGCCTTACGTGCTTTGTACAGAAGTTCACCAAATTACTCACATGGTGGGTCCCATGTGGAAGATAAATAATGTCAAAAAATCACCCACCCACCGCATGTTGTGTGTTGTTTGGCCAGTGCTATGCAACATTTTTCTGTACATGTAGCTCTGCTAATCTTTTTCATTTTCACTACAACATCACTACGGTGGCACAACTATCATTACGGGGGCTATGGTGACATGCTTAAGTTCTCGAATGCATAACACTAAGCGTGGAGTGTTGGGCCACGCTTGTAATTAGCGTCAAATGTATCCTTCGTTATTATATCACAAAATTCAAATGGAAAGGAATGCAATTGCTCGTAAATAAGGGACTTTCTCCATTGAAAGAAATTAAAGAAGAATATCATAAATGTTTATCAGGTGTATCCTTGGTTTTTATTGGACTTCTAATTCCCCTACACTATTTTATTCATTTAAAATGAAATTGGTCCCAACATCTCTAATATAAACTTATATATGCATTTTGGTCATTTTTTTCTTGGAATTGGGTCGTTTAAATTTTAGGATAATAATATTGAAACCACTACTTTTATTAACTCCTCCATAGTTTCAATGCAATAAAGTTTATATTTCTTTTCGCATTTATCTCCGAATTTTTTTTAGTCACAATCTCATATTTACCATTTAATTTACTAGCACATCTAGTCTCCCATTAGAGTTTCCTTCCAAATTATCTATTAGCATGGGAAATTAAGTATTAAGTCGAAAATTTGTATTTATTGTTTATATTGCTTATTTAAAATATGAGGGACGAATAAGTCTTTTTACTCAATGAAAATAGATTTTTTGACAGTCATTAGGAACAAGATGTGCTAACTAATTGAAGTTTAAAAATAGTACACAACGAAAAAAATTGAGAATATAAGGGCAAAAATAAACAAACATTGAGGACCTTCACTACAACTAAAAGTACAAGTGTAAATAAAATGGATTTTGATATGTGTAAACACCTCGATGTACAGGCCCCCTCAGAATAGGAGGCTCACGATTTTTTATTAAGCATGGGCCCCTGATTGCGAACGGGCTATTGACACCAAGCGCGGACGCAAACTTTTTGAATTAGAGGGCACAATCAGACACTATATAAATCGATTACGTTCTTGATTTTTGAATAATTCATACTTAACTTGAGAAAACACAGAATTAAGTTTAAAAACACATTCCTTCATTAATATTTTGTTTATCATTTTTATCCATTAAATTTCGAACGGTCCTTTTATTATTATTTTGCTCATAAAAAAATGCATATTTACATTTAAATAATTTATAGTGTATTTGATACAAAAAAAATCAATTTACGTAATAAAAAGAAAAAAAAACATATAACCAATATTCACTACTAATATTCAATCAAATAAACATAATTTGTTAAATATAAGTCAAATTGGATATAATCATTTAAGACTCATTTTATACACAATTTAATAAGAGAAAATGCAAATTTAAGTTCAAAATAAGATTAGGAAGTGAAGTAAATATTATAATTTGTAAAGAAATTATAGACAAATTTTTAAAAAAAATAGTAGAGTTAAGGTTTTAATAAAATGTGAGAATGAGAGTCACGAGAGGGTAAGTAAAAATTAAAAAATTCAAATCTATTGTAATTTTGTCCCTGTTTGATGATGAATAAAATCAAATTTCTAGAAAATTTTGATAAAAATTGAAAATTTATGAATCCCATGAAGTATGTTATTAAAATTAATTGTCAATCTTGAATTTTTTATTTTATTTTATTTTATTTTTTTGGGTAAGGCATTAATCTCGAATTTTATTAAATTTTAATTTTAATTCATATCAATCAGGGCTTTATAAATAAATAAATTCACTCAAAAGTTGAGCGGTCACTTGACCCCCCAAAACCCCCTCTTGTGTACGCCCCTGATTGACACCGAAATGTACAAATAATAAAATCCAAACATAACTACCTAACTTTTAACTGTAGGAAAAAACTTAGATTAAAAAGACTATTATACATTAATTGTTTACTTGGGGTTTCCTCTTTTAGGCCTTGTCTGAAAATAAATAATTAAAATAGAATTACAAAACAAGAGAATGTATGAAAGAACTTACTTTAATTTGAAGCCTATGGATTTACAAATATGCAATAGATTTATAAGTACAAGTGTTATGCGGTGTGCTCTGTGTATTTCGGTGTGTGTTTCATTGTATGTGATATTGGTATTTTTAAATACTGGTACATTATGTCTATTTTTTCAAAAAAAAAA